TACAGTTCGAAGCAAATATGTTCCTCCCCTGCCCAACTGGTCCCCGGCTGGTCCTGCTGTTTGGGGACAGAGCCTTTGGGATGGGGGGCATGGAAAGTGGCCTCTAGTCATTGTTTTCTTCATCACTGTTGCTAAATCCCTGACAGAAATGACTAACGAGAGAAAAGGTTAGCATTGCTCAGTTTGTTCTCTAATGACAGAGGCCATTTTCCAGAATCCCGGGTGTGTGGGCATTCTGATGAGAGTCTAGCTGGAGTCTTAGAACAGAAAAAAAACAAAAAACCATGGGTAGCACTGGCAGGCTTCCTTCCAGTTGTTGGGAGGAGACAGCTGAGCTGGGATCTCTGGGCAGGCTTCTAAGTCCTGTGGACTGTGGCCAACTTGTTGGAGGGGTGCCAGGCCATCAGTGGCCATTTAGTTGCAGTTGGTCACATGTACTGATGGGCTAGTGGGAGATTGCCTGGCTTCTCCCTTGGGATTCCTCCCAGGTGGGTGTTTAATTTGTCAACAGTTGTTTTGTTAATGACTCCTTTGGTTCAAAAACAGAGTGATCGCCTCTCTCCTTCTCTGGATCTGAGGTAAACAAGCGTCTCATCTCAATTGCTGGGACCTGTAGCTCTTTAGGTGGGCACATTTCGACAGACACACAAATGACTTCTAACTACATATTTGGACTTGATGGGTCCTAAGCATTTGAAAGATCCCAGAACTGGGTGGATTTTTGCTCTTTTTGTTTTTAGGACTGTGCTCTTAAGCATACCTTCAGTTATATTCAACTGAATAGTGAATTCTTTACACGGTTTTCTCTGACTTCAGGTGGTAACTTTATGGTGTCATTCTATTAACAATTCCCTTGAGTCAGAAACATCTGTGCTTATGTTTACTTCTTTCTGTTCTCCTTTGCTAGAATAATAAACAAGTCAATAATATTAATATGATTAAATGTCAGCATTAAACAGGAGTATGAATTTGAATAACATGACTTAATGCAGGTCATGATTTTGTTATGGTAATCTCACAGGGCTCAACCTTTATTCTATAAAATACCTTTATTCTATAAAATGGAACTATCTCAAGGTTAAAGGTTTTCCTCCTCCTCCCCCTTCTTTCTCATCTTTAGAATTCCAATAAGACAGTCTAGATTTACTAGAAGGCAACAGAATTACAATCTTCAGGCTTAGCTCCAGGCATACCCTTTCTTTTTATTTTCATTATTTTTCCTATTTGTAACCTCTAGATCTGGAATCAAGTTGTGAATGGGTAACAGTGATCTTTCTTGCAGACCAGGCTCCACTCAGATCTTACTCCTCTGATCACCCCATGCTGAGTACCAGGATTCCCCAGCCTAGACACACAGACCTTTGGCCTGCAGATAGGATTGTCTCACGGGTGTCATCAACACTGGTCTGCTCAATCAGCAAGGTAAAGTTTCATCCTCTCAGCCTCCGCTCCGAATCTAGCTGAGGTAGACTTGATTCTGAGATCAAGAGATCAATGTAAAAAATCCCAGGATGGCAGGTTAATAGCTTATTTCTCCATTTTTAATCCCAGATTTTATTTAGCTATACAACATGGGTAACTATGCTACACCTCCATATACTGCTTCTGTTTGCCCAAAATATCTACCCAAAGTTCACTTGGTACCCGTAGGAAGTTAAGGAATGAATAGTTCCACCTGGACAGGTAGGCAGAGCAGCCAGCTGTGGTGGCCACAGAATGTTGACTGAATCCACACGGGCCTCTCTGTGATGGGCCCTTGTTCACTTTGATGGTGCCTGTTTCACGTTCCCACCTCTCAGTGGACTCTGATGGGCATCTCAGAGCCAGTTGTGTGCCCAAGACATTGTCTCTAGGGTATTGGGCAACCTTGGGTGATAATTAATGACTCAGTGGGCCCACCAATAGCAGCTGCCAATTACCAATCTGCCTGATTTGGTTAGACAGTTATGACACAGTCATGCTATTGTTTAATTTCTGTTACATTCAAACTTGGTTTGCTCATCAATTTCTCTTGAAAATATAGGCTGAACCTGAGGGAACATATCGCTATGCATGGTAGCGGTATTTACATATGCTGGATGGCTATGATACCTGAGGTGACAGTCTTTAGAAGCACAATTGTAAATAACTGAAACATTGAGTGGCTGAGACACAGCCACCTCATAGATGTAATAGCAGCAAGCCCTTCTTCCTTGCTTATAGCATAAGTGAAGAGTTACTGAGATCAGTGGGCATGGGTTTGCATCACAAGAACTAAGAAACACACACACACACACACACACACACACACACACACACACCAGAGAGGGGGGGCTGGATCTGGATTTAGGTTGGGGAAGAATTTTAAATAAAGGAAAACATTACTTTATCAGTCTACTCTTGCCCATAAGTTTCTATTTATTATTTTAGAAGGTTGCCATTTCCAAAAATAAATGCAAAGGAGACAGGCAAATCATTGTCCATGTAGGGTAATGTTGAGCTCTTTATCAGCAATAAGTTA